AACACCTGGCTTGTAATGCTTAGACAAGTCACCAGCACCATAGAGACGCCCTCTAGTCTTTCCACCGGCAGCTCCAGCCCAAAAATTTAGCCGAGTTGCAGAATCAACTTCCTTAGGGCCACTATTTGATGTCTCTCCTACTTGAGAGGCGTGTTTTAGCTTCTCTTGAAATGTTTCCTGATAAAAAAATACTTAAAATTATATACATTACAATATTTTCATGATACGAACTAACAGAACAATAATCATTTAATTGTTTGTTGAAAGTAGCAAAAACAGGAATTTCGACCAAAATCTATGTTAATTTCTTTAATAATTGACATCTTTATTACATTAATTTGTAATTTGTGATACTCCTAAGGTTAACCATGGCTGTTTGTTTTAAGTAAGAACTAAAATTTTGTTTGTTTTTAGCATGACATGGGATAAGATAATTTTCTAATAATTTGTTTATTGTGACATGGGATAAGAATCCACTTCTTAAAAACAGGTATTGAATTGTGAGAAAAACTGGTATTGAATAAAGTAATCTTTTAATCATTTCCCCACTTACTCTTATTAATCCTACCATATATATGATCATGATCCATAATATATGTAACTAATAATTTTTTTTAACAAGAGGGTCTAAGTTCAAAAGAAAATATTAACACAACATATCTATGTAACTTGTCCTTTTCAAATAAATGGCATTAAAGATTTTATCCAAGCATACATCAAAATTTAGTAATTACACTTACATATGTCTTCTTTGATCTGTCGTCCACCCATGAGGAGTCCTTCTTTTTCGTATGAGTCCTTAAGAAGACTTCATCTAATGTGGGCTCTCTACCTAATTCCCGACGCTTATGCATTATAAAAAATTGATGTCAAATGTTAGGAAAAAATAAATTATGAGCTAAAGTTTAAGGAATCAAGTGTTTAAAATGAATGACATACCATTCGTATGATGTGCTCATTTGTGGATATGGAGCCACCCGTATGGACAGATCCACCCTTAGCAGATGCCCGATTTTTCTTATTCCTGGCAGCTTTGACCTTATACTCTGGTGTTTCCCATTTAATTTTGAGCCCTTTCCAAGCACCCTCTCCCATCCAAGATGGACGTTCTTGTTTCTTCCTTGCATCCATCAGAATCTCTGAGAGGCGCTTTGAGCCTTTGCTCTTAAAGATACTCTTGAGTTCAAACTCATCCTCAGGCCGCCAAGCAACTATTTTCTGCAACATTTTAATAATAGACAAATTAAGAAGCAACGGATTAGAAGACCAGGTCCAAACCTCAAAACCAGAAGAAAAAAAAGCATAGCCCAAAAAATAATCACATTCTAATTATAAAAGTTTTTTTGTTCTTTAAATTATTGATACTTAATTTGTCTGTATCCGGAATTGAACTAACAATCTATTATCAAATAGGCCATTGCATAATAGGTTTTGTTCTATTTATATTTGTTTGATTTTTTTTTATTATTATTGCAGTTTAGTACATCTTGTGTCAATCCTCTATGCATTTATATATTAGGCTCTTTACCCTTTATTATTAATATATATTGTTTGTCTCTTAAAAAAAGTCTTAGCCCAATAGTTAAATGTTGGATTATTTGTGAAATTTCAAATACTTCTTTAAACCATTCCCGAAAATGTCTACACTAAAAGTACATATGTAAAAACAGATACTCCTATATAGCATAGAAATACCAAACAAGGAATTTTTCTTTCCCATTTCATAACTATTAGTAAAACCACCTGCACCAAAAGTTATACAATTCAACTCTCTACCAAAATTACTAACCTATTTAGTTATTATGTACAAATTAGAAGTACATAAATTAATAACTCTCTATCAATGACAGTAGAATAAAGTTGAAATAGTGGTGTCAAGAGTTGTTCGATACTTTGGTTTGGACAAGCAAATTAATAAAGTAGAATAAAGTACATAAATTAATAACTCTCTACAAAAATGACTAACATATTTAGTTATTATGTGTTAATCTTGTAATCTTGTTTGTGTGAAACTATAATAACTAGTTTACAAATGAAATTGGTTCGTTTACTAATGAAAGTACTTTTTTAATCTTATTACTTTATAGTTAAGTTAGCTATCCTAACTAAACAAATTATAAACAAATTAGAAGTACATAAATTAGCTATCCTATTTAGTTATTAATAACTCTCTATCAAAACTAAACAAATTATAAATAAATTAGAAGTACAGAAATTAGAAAAACTAAACAAATTAACAAACTTACCCCAAATTTCATGAACATCCTATTCACCCTTTTATCTGGTATCTCCCTCCACCTAATCCATGCCTTACGGAATTGTGACTCAATTACTTTGGTAAGGGCTCTCGAGGCCACCCTACACGGGTTCCACCTACATGCAAATTATAAACAAAATATTAAAATACATTATAGACACGTCAACATAAGTCATAAATTAACATAAAACAAATATGTACCCTCTCCCATATGGAAAAATATAGGGCCTCCCATCAGTTGTCTTATGAATCTCATGACAAGAGTGTCTTGATTCTTGCACCAGATCATCACTGGTTTGCACATGTAGCGAACTAGATTGAGTGTTTGGATCTGACATGTGTGAACCTTGAGCTGATGAGGAAGGATCTCTGATATGTAAAGATGTTTCTATTGCCTCATGTGGCCTAAAATCTGGAGTTGGCACCATAGTTATAGGTGGATCTTTTGGATTCTCATTGTCTTGTATCTCCGCATCCACTTGTCCAGAATCATGTTGTTCCACTTTCCACTTGTCTTTCATCTTGTTGCTCCACATCCATCTGCTCCACATCATGTTGTTCTAGTTCTAGATGCCTTGCATTATGTGCATTCTTGGCTGCTTGAGTCACCTTATGCGGCAAAACCATCTTCCTCTTCTGCTTTGGTGGGATCACCCTACCTTTTCCTTTTGGAGGCATCTGTAGAGAAAAAATAATATATATTAACTTTTAAATACTAAAAATAACAAAGAACTAAAATATACGCACTAGCAACAATTTTATGCGATTATAATGAAAAAAGTAGTCATTATATACACATTTTACGATGATTCACAAGTGAAAGTATCAAAAATATTTTAATGGTTTAATCTTGAATTGCAAAACAAGTTGCTCTAGCTATTTTCTTCAACTCACTTTTGGAAGGTGTTGAAGATATGGATAATATGGTGTTAGTAACTTCATCATCGATATTATTATCTTCCCTATAATCATTATCTGCACTAGCATTAATTTGCATGCTAGAAATTAATATAACATCAACTTCTTCATCACTATGTGTTTCATTGTGCAAGCCGGTTATGTCTTCAATTTCAGTTATCTGTTCAACGTGAGCCATCTCTTCATCTTGATAGGGTGTATCATCATCAATGTCAACAACCTCTATACACCTCTGGGCTTTGTCTTTATCACTGCACACCAACCACGTTTGTCTACACGCATTTATGGGTAAGGTACATAATACACTTGTTTGGCCTTTTGTGCAATTATGAATGGATCATAACGATCATATTTTTTGTTCATCTTGATATCTACAATATCATAATGAGGATGAACTTTTGTTCCTCTACCTCGTTTTGGATCAAACCATTGACAGTAAAACAAGGCTACTTTGTGAGATAATTCATGATACTCCAACTCAAAGATATGTTTAATGACTCCATAGAAATCATCTTCCCCACCTTCTGTAATCCCCTTCACATAAACCCCACTATTTATGGTCTTTTTACCTTGACTCCATGCTTGTGTGTGGAATTTGTACCCATTAATGAAGTATTTGTGCCAACTCATGGCATTTGATTCAGGACCCCAAGCTAATGATATTAGTTTTTTGTCTGTCACACCATTTCCCTCATTAGTGGCCTACACAAACATGAAATTCACAATAAAGATAAAGTGATTAATTTTTTTACAAGTTTGAATGACAACACTTACATACTCTCGAAACCATTCTGGGAATTCTCCATGTATAAGAGTTGAAGCTGAAGGATCCTCTTCATTGATGGACTTATTTTGCAAGAAAATACTGGCAATAAAGAGAGAATTGTTGTGATGTATGTATTGTAAATGTTTATTTTGTGTCTATCTTTGTTTCGTTACTTACTTAGTATATGGCTTAACCTCATTGCAATTAATGAGAATGTGTACATGAGCAGATCTCCATTCAGCATCAGTCAACCAATGTATTTGGGATTTTCCACTAGGACGTCCAAGAGGGTTGCTTATTGACAATGTTGGCACTACATCATCGTTCAGTCCTAACGCTTCATTACGTTTGCTTGTGGCAGATAAGGTGGCCGTTTTGAAATAGTGGGAACAAAAATATGTTGTCTCTCGATGTAAATACGACATACATATTGAGCCTTCCACTCTAGCCTTATTCTTCACTGACCGCTTAAAATCTCCCATCATTCTTAAAAAAATGAGTGTTAGATCTTCTATGAAATGTGAAAGATTTAAAATGAATAAATTAATAATTAGGAATGTATGCAAAATACCTTTCAAATGGATACATCCATCGATAGTGTACAGGACCACCAAGTTATGCCTCATAGGGAAGGTGAATTGAAAGATGCTCCATAGAATCAAAGAATCCTGGTGGAAATATTCTTTCAAGTTTGCATATGATGACTGGAATGTTATCACCTAATTTAATTAATTCATCTTTTCTTAAGGTATTGCTGCATAATCCCTTAAAGAATTGACTTAACTCTGTAAGTGGTTTCCATACAAGATCAGGCAATGAACTAAATGCAAATGGAAGTAAACACTCCATAAACACATGACAATCATGACTTTTCATTCCGTGCACTTTCCCTTTATTGACATCCACACATCTAGCCAAATTTGAAGCATATCCATCTGGCATCTTAAGCTCCTTTATCCATTTACAAACTTTTTTTGCCTCATCAGAAGAAAGACAGTAATTTGCCTTAGGTTTTGTCATCTTTCCATTGTCGTGTTTAATCAACTCTAAGTCACTACGTTAACAAATGATGGCCAAGTCCATTCTAGCTTTTTCATTGTCCTTTGTCTTGTTCTTAATATTCATGACTGTATTAAACACATTATCGAAGAAATTTTTCTCAATGTGCATCACGTCTAGATTGTGCCTTAATAAATTGTCTTTCCAATATGGAAGATCCCAAAATATGCTTAGTTTAGACCAATTATGGCTTTCTCCATATCCTTTTAATTTAGAAACTCGATTGTCTACAAGTTCCCAAAGATCACGAACCCAACGATATATTTCTTCTCCTGTCAATATAGAAGGTGGCTCTTCCTTCACAACTTTATTTTTTGTGAACCTTTTCTTACTTCTTCGAAAGGCATGATTACGTGGTAAGAACCTACGGTGACAATTAAACCACGAATTTTTTCCACCATATTCCAGTGTAAAAGCCTTATTTCCATCCATACACACTGGACATGCCAACTTGCCTTGAGTACTCCACCCTGATAACATACCGTAAGCTGGAAAGTCATTAATTATCCACATTAATGCTGCCTTCATTACAAAGTTTTGTTGAGTGGGGATATCATAAGTCAAAACCCCTTGATTCCACAAGTTCTGAAGCTCGTCTATTAATGGTTGTAAGTACACATCAATGTGAGCTTTTGGATTATGTGGTCCTGGTATGAGGCATGTTAAAAACATAAATGGTTTAGTCATGCACAATTCAGGGGGGAGATTATATGGTGTCACAATCACATGCCAACAAGAATATGGGGATGAAGATGCCTGAATGTATGGTGTAAAACCATCAGAACATAAACCTAGCCTCACATTTCTTGGTTCATTCGCAAAGTCCGGATGTATCTCATCAAAATTCTTCCAAGATTTACCATCAGATGGATGACGTAAAACACATGAACTTGAATTATTATGATGATGCCATATCATATCTTTTGCAGTTTCTATTGAGGCATACAATCTTTTTAACCTTGGAGTGATTGGTAAGTAGTGCATTCTCTTAACCGGAACGTCATTGTAATTACCCATCCCAGGCTTACGAGGAGCATATCGTGGTTCATGGCAAAACCTACACTCTCGATCTGCAATCGTATCTTTGTAGTACAACATGCACCCATTCACACAACAATCAATTTTCTGAGACTTCAAACCAAGCATGGACACCAACTTTTTTACTTGGTAGAAATTTTTTGGCAATGAATCCTTTGAAGGGCACACTTCTAGAAGCATGTTTGCAAAGAAATCAATACATTTTTGAGGTACATTCCAATTTGTTTTGCAAGCCATAAGCTTCACATATACTGAAAGTTTCGATTCAGAAGCACCCTCATATAATGGTTGGTTTGCAGAAGTTAGCAGATCATAAAATTCTTGAGCTTCCTTATTTGGTGGCTCTTCATGATTGTCTTCCATATTAACCTGTTCTCTATCAACCTCATATTCATCGACATTATCTTCATTAATCCCCCTTTCCTCACCAACCTCGTTCTCATTTCCCACATCCTCATTAACATTATATTCGTTATCGACATCCTTATCACCTTTGTTGCCCATACTTCAAAAATCATAATCAGGCCCTATTGCATCCTCGACCATATGTTGCATTAATTCAAAATGGTCTTCATTATCCACATGTCTACTACTAATTGGTACATTTGCTGAGTCAATACGTGGGGCTTTTTCACCGTGATCTGTCCAATACCAATAATTTGGTTGGAATCCATATTTATACAAGTGAAATCTAACGTCACCTTCGGACAATACCGGCACACACATGTACTTGTTACAAGGATATCTAATTCCACCATCAAATTCAACATTAAGTTGCATTTTAGCCTTTTTAATGAACTCATCAACCCCGTTTACAAAGGTTAGTTTCAAACCCCCCCTATGAGGATAATGCCTATCATATACCCAACTACGTTCCGGAGGGTAATGATCCATATACAATCACTTACTTTATTGATGACTTGAAGCTATCTAGACAGAAGAAATAAATTAAAAAATCAGCAATCTTATAGATAAGTGCAGGATGATTTGTTAGGGAAACTATTTGTTGGAAGTTACTTTTCCAACTACTTATGTTTTGGTTAGAAAATTGCTATACAAATTTTCACTGATAACATGTTTCATCTAAAGAAACTTAACATAGTGGCCTCAAGGCAAATTTAGACCAACTGAAGCCGAAGAATAATAAAACTACATATCTCAGTTGCAACATATACATAATGAATTTAGACCAACAAAGGATTTAAAGAACAAACTTTTCTTAACCAAATTAAACACTGGTAAGAGCTGACTTGCAACATATTCAGAATGTAGGTGGATATATTCACCAATAGTTCATTATCTACCTTCGAACATTAATAATGTATATTTAGCAATGAAAATAGAATAATAAACAGAATAATAACATTTATATACTCTGTATCAAAAAATCAATTGAAGAAAGTCTCAAGAGTACCTAAAATTAACAACATCTAACAATAACAATATCAAAGACAACAGCAAAACAAAGATTGATAATAATAACAAGAAATCGATAAATTAGAAAGAAAAGTTATAAAATTAGGGTTTTGAAAATAAAAAGAAAAAAATAAAGTCTAAGAAGTGAGAAGTGAACTTACCGTGAAGAATTAGGGTAGAAAACAATCGCGGTTGAGAGAAATTTGAAGGATGAAAGAAGTTTGAAGAACGAGGGTGCAAGCCGCTAGCAGAGAGAAGTCTGAAGGAGGGTTTGAACTGCTAGCTCACTTCCGCTTCTCCTTATCAAATATAATTTGTTTATCTTTGTCCTAAAAAAAATTATAATATAAATGTATCCAAATTGTTACAAACATTAACACTAATAATTTATCTTTATAATAAAAAATTTATACTTATTTTATAATTAGAATAAAAAACTATATTATTAATATATCCAAACTTATTAGTTTAAGTATAAGATTTTAAGTAATTTTTAGTTCCTTTTAAAAATATAATTGGTTTTTTTTAATTTATATTAAAAAAAAAATTATTGATTAATAGTATATATAAGTTTATAAGACTTTACCGAGGGTTTAACCGTGGGTAATTACCGACGGTGCAAAACCGTGGCTGCTTTCCACGGCTAAGCCGTGGATAATAATTAAAAAAGATATAATTGATATTGTTTTAGGTACTCACGAATTACTGACGAATAAACCCTCTATACCAAAAAAATTATCGACGACTACATGGCCGTGGGTAATGATCCGTGGGTATATACAACTTTTCTTGTAGTGGATAGACCCTACATACATCTAGTGTCGAGATTGTATGCTTGTGTCACTCTATCATCCTTTTGGTGATAGGTCTGTCATCATTTAGGTGCCAGATTGTGCGAGTGTTCTCTATCAACCTTTTCGTGATAGGCCCTGCATCCTTTTGGTGTCAGGATTGTGTGCGTGTGTCGCTCTATCATCCTTTTGGTGATAGGTCTGTCATCCTTTTGGTGACAGATTGTGCGAGTGTTCTCTATCATCCTTTTGGTGATAGGCCTGCATCCTTTTGGTGTCGGGATTGTGTGCGTGTGTCGCTCTATCATCCTTTTGGTGCCAGATTGTGCGAGTGTTCTATATCATCCTTTTGGTGATTGACCCTACATTTTTCTGGTGTCGGGATTGTGTGCGTGTGTCGCTCGATCATCCTTTCGTAGATAGGTCTGTCATGCTTTCGGTGATAGAGCCTACATCCTTTTAGTGTCGGGATTGTGTGCGTGTGTCACTCTATCATCCTTTTAGTGATAGGCCTGTATCCTTTGGGTGTCGGGATTGTGCGCGTGTGTCGCTCTATCATCCTTTCGGTGATGGGTCTGTCATCCTTTTGGTGGCAGATTGTGCGAATATTCTCTATCATCCTTTTGGTGATAGGCCTGGATCCTTTTGGTGTCGGGATTGTGTGCGTGTGTCACTCTATCATCCTTTTAGGGATGGGTCTATCATCCTTTTGGTGCCGTATTGTGCAAGTGTTCTCTATCATCCTTTTCATGATAGACCCTACATCCTTTTGGTGTCGGGATTGTGTGCATGTGTCACTCTATCATCCTTTTGGTGATATGTCTGTTATCATTTTTGTGCCAGATTGTGCGAGTGTCCTCTATCTTCTTTATATTGATAGGCCCTGCATCCTTTTGGTGTCAGGATTGTGTGTGTGTGTAGTTCTATCATCCTTTTGGTGATGGTTCTGTCATCCTTTTGGTGCTAGATTGTGCGAGTGTTCTCTATCATCCTTTTGGTGATAGACCCTGCATACTTCTAGTGTCGGGATTGTATGCTTGTGTCACTCTATCATCCTTTTGGTGATAGGTCTGTCATCATTTAGGTGCAAGATTGTGCAAGTGTTCTCTATCATCCTTTTCGTGATAGGCCCTGCATCCTTTTGGTGTCAGGATTGTGTGTGTGTGTCGCTCTATCATCCTTTTGGTGATAGGTCTGTCATCATTTTGGTGACAGATTGCGCGAGTGTTCTCTATCATCCTTTCGGTGATAGGCCTGCATCCTTTTGGTGTCGGCATTGTGTGTGTGTGTCGCTCTATCATCCTTTTGGTGCCAGATTGTGCGAGTGTTCTCTATCATCCTTTTGGTGATAGGTCCTACATTCTTCTGGTGTCGGGATTATGTGCGTGTGTCACTCTATCATCCTATTGGTGATAGGTCTGTCATCCTTTTGGTGCCAGATTGTGCGAGTCTTCTATATCATCCTTTTGGTGATAGGCCTGCATCCTTTTGGTGTCGGGCTTGTGTGCGTGTGTCGCTCTATCATCCTTTTGGGGATGGTTCTATCATCCTTTTGGTTCCGTATTGTGCGAGTGTTCTCTATCATCCTTTTCGTGATGGGCATTACATCCTTTTGTTGTCGGGATTGTGTGCATGTGTCCCTCTATCATCCTTTTGGTGCCAGATTGTGCGAGTGTCCCCTATCTTCTTTTTGGTGATAGGCCCTGCATCCTTTTGGTGTCAGGATTGTGTGCGTGTGTCGCTCTATCATCCTTTTAGTGATAGGTCTGTCATCCTTTTCGTGCTAGATTGTTCGAGTGTTCTCTATCATCCTTTTGGTGATAGACCCTACATCCTTCTGGTGTCGGGATTGTGTGCTTGTGTGACTCTATCATCCTTTCGGTGATAGGTCTGTCATCATATTGGTGTCAGATTGTGCGAGTGTTCTCTATCATCCTTTTGGTGATAGGCCTGCATCCTTTTGGTATCGGGATTAAGTGCGTGTGTCGCTCTATCATCCTTTTGGTGCTAGGTCTGTCATCATTTTGGTGCCAGATTGTGTGAGTGTTCTCTATCATCCTTTTGGTGATACGCCTGCATCCTTTTGGTGTCGGGATTGTGTGCGTGTGTCGCTCTATCATCCTTTTCGTGATGGGTCTGTCATCCTTTTGGTGCCAGATTGTGCGAGTGTTCTCTATCATCCTTTTGGTGATAGACCCATTAATCTTCTGGTGTCCCGATTGTGTGCGTATGTCGCTCTATCATCCTTTCGATGATGAGTCTGTCATCCTTTTGGTGGCAGATTGTGCGAGTGTTCCGTATCATCCTTTTGGTGATAGGCCTGCATCCTTTTGGTGTCGGGATTGTGTGCATGTGTCGCTATATCATCCTTTCGCATGGGTCTGTCATCATTTTGGTGCCAGATTGTGCGAGTGTTCTCTATCATCCTTTTGGTGATAGGCCTGCATCCTTTTGGTGTCGGGATTAAGTGTGTGTGTCGCTCTATCATCCTTTTGGTGATAGTTCTGTCATCATTTTGGTGCCAGATTGTGTGAGTGTTCTCTATCATCCTTTTGGTGATACGCTTGCACATTTTTGGTGTGGGATTGTGTGCGTGTGTCGCTCTATCATCCTTTTGGTGATGGGTCTATCATCCTATTGGTGATAGACCCTACAATCTTCTGGTGTCCCAATTGTGTGCGTGTGTCGCTCTATCATCCTTTCGGTGATGAGTCTGTCAACCTTTTGGTGCCAGATTGTGCGAGTGTTCTCTATCATCCTTTTGGTGATAGGCCTGCATCCTTTTGGTGTCGGGATTGTGTACGTGTGTTGCTCTATCATCCTTTCGGTGATGGGTCTGTCATCCTTTTGGTGCCAGATTGTGCGAGTGTTCTCTTTCATCCTTTTGGTGATAGGCCGACA